TATTTAAAACGTCTTACGCATGGTCTCCTGGGAATAAAACCCTAGAGCTCGGAGGTAAAGGCAAGAGTGAGGGATGAAGCAACACTTTGAGTATAAGGTGAAAAAATTCTTGAACCTAGCATTCCCACAAGTTTTTGCGATGCGATGTAATACGAGACATGTCGCATACCTTTTGACAGAGGAGAGCAAACCGTACATCAATATATCAAGCTCGCTCACGATCAATTCACATAAGATAAAAGCCAAAATTCAAAAACATATTGTTTTGTCCATACTCTGATGTTCGCTCTCCAGACCTTAGGAACTTCCAATATGCTCAGACTTATCCTAGAATAACACTACATAATACAAATACTATACGTACATGTGTCATGCAGCTGCATGAACTCCGTCAAACTAAGATAGTTATTGAAATATAATAAGCTCAAGCCCCAGTAACTCTGAATCCCGTCCACACATCTATTAGGCTGTCCCATAAATTTTTCCGATTATAAATATAAATATATCTTGACAGCGAGAAAACCTACAAATTTATGGTCGTACTTCCCAATGATCATGCATGCATGCATGCTTATAATCACGTATGTTGGAGGATCCCGTTTCCATTAAAGGGCGGAGTTTGCCACCTTACCCCATTCAATAACTTCTCATTTCTAGGAAAGGAAGAAATACGTAAATGGCATGATAAAATGTAAGATGGTGTCAAGTACTTGTTTGGGTGAATTGGAGATCAGTGAGGTGTTATAGAACGGAGATATGTTGATTTAAGCTGGATACTGTTTTTTGAGTACTCTGGCTAGAAACTTTATGTGGAATACGATTTCGACAAATGCTTATTGACTATCATAGGTCTTGCTTTGCTCTATCGTTTGGTAACCCAAGCTACACTCAATAAAGGAAAGAAGCAGAAAAACTACAGTTTTTTGTAAAGTGGAAAAAAAATATGAAATACAGTAATAGATGGGAACTCATACACGCCCATTACAATCACTCACTATCAATTGCATTCACATTTCAGGCTGGAATAAAACTTCTTCGTACGAAAATGTCTAAGTGCATTTCTTTCAAACTAGACTGGTTTATGGATAAAACTGAAGATTGACGGGCTCCACTACTTTCATAAACTGACGAATTTGTCAATGATACAAGAAGTGGTTACATGGTAATTCTGATAAGTCTTCCTATTTGAGGAGCAGAAAGACCCAACTTTGGAATTCTCCAAACATGTGCTTGCAGATCTACAATCACAGCATGAGTTCGTCATGAAGTCGGGTGAAAGAAGCTGAGACAAAGCGTGTTTCTTTGTTTGCGAGGCTGTGAATGATTCTCGGCAGTAAGCTGCATTCTTTATGAGTCGTCGAGCAGAAAAAGAAGGAATGATAATCTAATAATTCTGCGATCTCTTTTTTTCTCTTGTCGTCAGTAAAATACTAGCTGAGCTTCTCCGGTAAAAGCAAAATCGACTCGCAAGCATGATCAAGGTTCAACACATCCTACATAAGTTGATTTGAGACTGTTAGATGCACTAAGACCTTGATAGTCAATTGCGAATTCTCTGCACGAAGAAAAAAACGAAGAGTAAAATGGTCGTCGATACTCATCCTCTCAGAGTTGGCTTTTTCAAATTCTTGTTCTGAAGAGTATGAACGCCATGACACATTTGTATTGGAGTTTTGAAAAGTAGATAATTACATAGCTTCAAAACTGCAGCACTTGTCAGAATGTATTCATTTCACTCGCAAATCTGACTGTTCGTAATTTTCTGCTGCACAGCAAAGGACACGAAACCCTAGATAATTTTCGGTAATCAGAATTTGAGAGGCACACCTTCTGCAAATAAAAAAGACAGTCCGGCAAAGGAGAATTAACTGGTGCCCATACAAGAGATGTTCCTTAAAAATAGTGTTATTGAGAAAAAAATGCGTCTGTATCATGGAAAAGTGAAGAAAGAATGAGACAAGAATAGAATCGCGACGAGAAGCTGAACGCTTACTATGTTCAGATTAATACGTGGAAAACAACTGACCTGCCAGCTCAAATGGTGTAAAATTGACTTTGACCTTTGGAAATCCAAATTGCAAATAATGTGTGCACCTCTGCGTCTCAACAACGCATACAGAAACGGAGCGCTTTGAGCAGCAATTCACTTCCACATGGATTAGTATTTCGAAAGTTTATGAGCTTGACAGAGTGTTGAGAAAAAATTTTCACTAATTCCAATTCACCTCATGAATAAGTTTTGGACTCATTCAAAGGTCTATGTTTTTCAGTTGCTTCCTCTGTAACAGAATGACCACACAACTCGATAAATCGAAGCAGTTATTGGAGCGAAAAATTCCGAAAAACCACGGTAAACGAGTGCATAGCGGCAAAAACGCAACAACTGTGCAGTTCGAACAGCAAAAAAATTCGCTATGCTGACCGGTTGTGACAGATCATTACTGAACGGTTCCTGTCAGTTCACAATCATTTGACTAACAGACAAGAATTTGATGACCTTTGCGCAGCCGAGTGCCCCTTGTGGTGAGCGGACATCAACCACACAGACATTCACAACTCGTTTTCATCACCTTAACGGGTAAGTCAATGCGGACTGACGAGCGGCATGCCATCCGCCTCCTGCCATCTTCATTAGTTGACTCCCATTGTTTGTTATGTTATAGTATTCCTTTGCCTCTCAATACAAATCTAGTGCTTCTTACATTTCGACCTTGACGTTGATAGCCTTTGTTTGTCTGAACTTTCTCTCACCTCCATCCTCAGTCATGACTTGCGGCCTCCCGTAAGCTTTCACCGAAGCCAGTAAAATATTACTCAGAGGAATGTCAGGATTATGAGGTTACGTGTAATTTCTAGGAACAACAATTTTTTGGAGCTCTTAGCTGAACTGACTAGGATTGATTGCGGTGCTTCAACATTGTTGAATTTCAGAAAGCTATGTCAGCTGGTCTTTACAATACAAACTTCCCTTCAAACAAACCTATACTTGCAAATTGTAGTTTGCAGTCATTTCATATAAGTTCTTCTGCTGATTTCCAAGTTACTTCATGATCAAATCTGTTGAATACGAGGTGCGCAGCTGTCACGTAGCTATTACATTGTCTCACAATAAAAAGGTTTCTTTCAACTCTTGTAAAAGCTTCTGGATTTTTTGGTGGCCCGTGTCAGTTCTAGCTGAACGATTTTGCTGATCATCTGACATTCTTCTCCTACCTGCTTCTTTACACATTCGACAATATCGAAGAGAAGGTCATACACGTTAATTACCTATACACGTTGATTACCACCTTACGCTCAAATTGTGATCCAGCTTCTATTTCTAGCTGAATCAAAACACCTTTTACTGTCATCGTGTTACTACTGCTGATACTCACACCCAAATTTCCGGTTGTTACCTACTGCTCGTCAACTGTGTAAAAAAAGTCACATGCCATTCATGCGGTCGTGCGTGAAACGCAAACCTCTCAATTACTCTATTAGCGGGATTATTTTCCTCATACAGAAAGATTGCTCTTTCAGTATCCCTTCCTTTTTACTGGCAACATGACACGACTGTGGCTGTTCGCCACCATTTTGCCATGCGTATTGTCTCAAGAGTGCACCAGAGATGCTGATGTTATGCGCCAACTCTTTACTGGTGACCATGGAGCTTCCCAGCCCGGTGAGAACTAAATCGTGGTTAAAAATATTAACGTTCACAAGAGAAAGAGGAAGCACCTGCTGCACAAGATACAAATGGTGTCATAAGATAATTTTGTGATTTCTGATCATCTAATTACTTTTTCTCAAGAAACTCGATCAAGTTGTTCCCATAAAATTCCCTCAGGTCCAAAAATTATTAGAATTTTGAAGCGTAACAAAGGTGGGCTCAAAAAGCGATCGACCTTCATCCTCTTTCCATGGACTCTACATGTTACAGAACACTGAAAACAGAAAACTTCTACACCATCTCTACGAATGGTTTGTTTGAATGCTCTTGATACGCCTTCGCAAATCCGTTGCCGAATTGGGCGCTTCTGTCGACCAGTTATGCACTGAGACAGATCTTTATTCTCTGAGTGTTTAAATGGGAGAAAAATGAAGCACTCAGTTAAAACAATTTTGTTCTTCTGTGCTCTTCATCTCTCTCATACTGATACACAATCAAGCTTGGAAGTTATATTTTTCATATGTTTTTCTCGACCATACAGTGCTGTTTGGGCCCATCCTAACATCTTACTAAAAAAGAACAAATGCGGTATTTTCCAATGCAACTTCTCGTTTTTCTTGGAATTTGAACAGAGATTCGTTGACTTGATGTAGTACAAGATTTCAGCTGCTGTCAGTAGCACTACCTATCTGAAACTAGAAATTGTGTCATTCATTTTGACATAGAACTGTGAGCCCAAAATGTTTCGCTTTTATAGAAAAGATGTTCTAGCGAACCTGGTAATTAACAGCGAACACTACTTGGTAGTACCAAAGTTGCTCTTGATAGGCGATGAACGGAGCATTGCAGTCGAGTAGATTCTCCGCTCACTATGGTGTGGTAGCGGCGTCGGGAAAATGCGGTAAAATTTGCGCGTGAACAAATAGGTTCGCTGGAATGCCTGCAAGCTGCGCACGCAAGTAGCTGGCGTTATACGCATATAGGTCGTTTATGAAATCGTGACGACGGATTTGACTGCAGTCTTTGCGCCCACAGGAGCAGAACTCATACAAAGAAAATCACATCAATTCTCAGTTCACTAACTTCCAATGCCCAAATACCGTCATATGTGAGGAAAAAACATTCGAATAAAGATGAAGACCAAGAAAATGCGGTTGCCGGGGGTGCGTGCGTGTCGCGTGCGGTCGAGCCATCGTCACGACTTTTTCGAAAACCCTTCCTATAGCTGTTTGTTTACCCGCAAAATTTACCGCATTTTCACCGCACCACAAGCACGCTATATTAAAAATCGTTTCGACTGTACTGTGTCATAATCGTTGTGTAATTCTGCACGGTTCCACCAATGACATCACCGCAGGCTACCAATTTTTACGCGTTACACATGCTCAGTAAAATTAGCAAACATCAAAATATAGGTAAAGTGTTCTCTCGTAAACAAGTAAGCAAATTGCTTGCAGCTGGAAAAGATGGATCGCTCATTGTTGATGTCGGCCTAGAGATAACATCGATGTCAATAGTGCCAAATACGAATACAATGAATGTGGATGTGATCATAACAAGGACATGGAATGTAAGAGAAGTGTAGTAGTTGCAAAAAGGTCTCTACTAGGCATGATTTGTGCTTTGAGGCAATCTATGTGCAAAATTTAAGGATCCATCACTATATTTTGCTCATCTGCAACCATGTCACCCATACCTCAACCTCAGTGAGTAATCTTTGTTTGATAGTCATTAGCATGGTGTATTTTACTACTTTTTAGTTAGCCAACGGAACAATCTATGGATACCTGAACTGTCGTTTCCACTTTCAAATGGCGCTTATGAGCACGATACAACTATACAGCTGAGCAGGGAAGGCACCATAGTGCATTCGACGAGGTTTGTACTCAAATGTAAGGATGCCCTCGCTAGCCAAATGCCCCTGTGGCCAAATAAGCATTTTGCTGGTTGGCGATACTCTAAGGTCGTTGGTGAGTGGCAAAGTGGATCGGGTACCCTTGCTATACCGCTTCTAATGATGTTGCTGCTCGGTAGGCCCAGCACCCCTTCCGAGGGGTGCTCGTCTGTCATACACCCTAGTTCCCAACCCCTAAGGACTTTCCGCAGATACGGGTGAGCTCAAAGCCCATACCGGCGCGTCACGCCTACCCAAAAATAAACAAACATAGATACATATGAATTTGCTAGACTAAAGTAAATACGTATTACAAAAATAAGCATAAAAGAAAACTTACCACGGGGAGAGTTAAGCTCAACCCCGGGCTACCGATGGGCCACTGACTCATTCACACTCTCTCCCTAGCACACTCTCACACACTCCCAACTTCCAAGGGAGCTGACCCACAGGTCGACCACGCGTGCCACCAAGGCAGCAGCGACGGCATGGCTGATACCGACCCCGTGATGTTAACCAACAGCCTCAAATTAAGCTCACTACAAGTCCTGCGCGTCCACGCGCTTTCAGATATTCGTCATCCTGGAGTTCTATCCGTGCGCGTCTATCCAAAACTCCATCGTCGATCCACACATTTGCGCGCAAGGCACGGAGACGTAGGCACAACGCCGATATCGTAGAACCCAACCAATCGATAATATAACGGCTCGACGACAGTAATAGGACGAAGAAGGAGAGCCGTACTGACGCGCGCACGCGTTTCGGTGGCTGGGGGCGTGCTTATGTGCTGGTCCGGGGCGAACGGGGTTGCCGCCGTGGAGCGCGGCGACCGTGCTCACTGCGCAGCAGCACGGTGCTCCCGGCCACATGCTGCGAGGAGCGGTCGATCGCCAGCCGCAACAAATGAGGTAAAAATAAATTGCGGCAGATTATTCTGTTGCGGCGTATTTGTCGCGTCAAAATGTCGCACTGTCATAGGTTCATTCAGTTCAAATTGTTGAAGACAGCTATATGTTCAACTGATTCAAATGTCTTTTTCTGTTTTGTTCTTGACATCAGAAGCTTATACAATACCACACATAATTTCTGCATAAAAAACGCGACGGTCACCTGACATTACGGTGCCGTAGCCACATCTCGCTTCAGTGTGAACGAAATGAAACAAATGGCATCATTCGATTCAGCTCGACCGAGGGCCTCTTTGATACATGTATATACAGGCACCCGCTTGGATGCGGTATGTACACGTTAAGCCAGCAGAATTACGAATGAGTACAATTTAGCTTACGGTAGATTAGGTAGTGTGCAGTGACTGAGCGCCTGAATAACATACCGTAAGCCAACAATAGCAGAAGATACGCATCGTCGACTGAATCGAATGGTGCCATTGGATATACATACAGGGTGTCCCAAAAAAATGCTTAGAACGTTTGATCGTTAATATCTCTCTTCCCAAGAGTTCTTTTGCCTTGCTTCAGGTACCGTTTTGTAGAGCTGGCTTCAACTTAGATTTCCATTATAGAACGAATCACCCATCTCTCTTCATTACTGTAGGGTTACAGAGGAAACTTCGAAGAGGGTTTTGGGCAATGAAAAGCCATATTTTCCATCGAAAAAAAAGAAAACAGCCTGAAAACTTTAGTTAAAACGTTAGTGACAAAGGAGGAGAGTTTGTAATCATGTCTCAAAAACTGGATCGCGAAATATGTGAGCAACACCTTTCTGACAACAACGTTTATCGTCGCACAACTGAGAAAGAATACCTTTCCCAGTGCAAACGCTTAAACCACGTTTGGCTGTTGCTCGGTAGGGAAGCCGGTCTGAACGAAAAGTTTTTGAGTCGGCTCAAAATTGACAATCCGTGTTGTCCCGTGTTTTACGGTCTGCTGAAAACGCATAAGCTCGCTGCAAACGATCTGAAGTCTATGTCTGCCACTACGTTCAAGATTCGACCAATCATCAGCTGTGTGAACGGTCCAACCGATAGGATCTCATGGTTTCTGAACAAAATTGTCGCCCAACTCCTGTGCAAAGTCCCGTCTCACTTGCCTAACACTGGACATTTCCTTGAGCGATTACGTCAAGCTAAATTCCATCATAGCTACGCAATGGAGTCATTTGATGTAACATCACTCTACACGAATGTGTCAAACAGTGATGCTCTTCAAGCGCTTTCTGAGATGATTGATGCTTATGGATCTTCCATATCGATGTATGGTCTCAGCAAAGCTCGTATTATGACTCTTATCAAGGAATGTCTCAGCTGTAACATCTTCAAGTGGTCGGGAGTCTACTACTCGCAGTTGAGAGGGCTGGCAATGGGACAGAGGTTAGCACCTGTTTTAGCTATCTGTTTCATGAGCAGAATAGAGAGACCGGTGTTATCCAGATGTCCAATTATGTATTGTCGATATGTTGATGACTGTCTGATCGTAACATCAACACAGTCCGAAATGGACGAGTGTTTTCGCGTACTGAACGAGCAATCGCAATACATAAAGTTCACAAGAGAGAAACCCCGAAACGGCTGGTTACCGTACCTTAACACACAGCTGATGTTATCAGATGGCAACGTCCGCGTGAAATGGTATCGTAAGGAGCATTCCAAAAATATCATTCTACACGCCAAATCTGGTCATCCGGTCGCGGTCAAAAGAGCAGTTGTGCGCAACATGTTTAAAACAGCCGCAGAAGTTTGCAGCGGAGAGGAAGAAAAACAAGAATCTCTCAAGCTCGCAAGGAAGGTTGCAGAAAATAACGGCTACTTTCCAGCAAGATCCAGACATTCGGAAAGAACACCTAATGGTAAGCAACATGACCAAACTAGAGCCATGATTCCCTTGAGTTTACCATTCATCTCTGACAGGGTCACAAACGAGTTCAAACGGTGTATCATACAAGCACAGCTGAACCAAGATGTTGTACTCGTAAACATTCCTGCAAACAACATCAAGCGACAGCTAGTACGTAATCGTCTATATGATACGGCTTGTATCACACAGAACTGCGTTGTATGCCCTAATGGCAGAGTAGGGGATTGTGCTAAGTTTGGCGTAGTCTACGAGCTCGAATGTCTGGATTGTCATGCGACCTATATCGGAGAGACGGGGCGTTTACTCAGCATCCGCGTTAACGAACATCTAGCCAGTAAGAAACGGGGGAGCACGATGAGCCCACTCGGAAAGCATAGAGCAGATCACGGCGGTAACGATTTTTGCGTTAAGTGCACGATTTTGGCGTATGAAAGTAAAATTGCGGCTCGCAAAGCACTGGAAGCGTCGTTCATCCTCTCGCATCAGCCAAAGATGAACGGCAAGAATGAACAGCTATCTATCACCAGCGATCTTATGCCGTTCATATCGTATTGTCAACTGTAAGATACCCACGACTACTTAAGCTGTCCATTAGTGTGACAGTTCAGTCATTTGTCATCAGTGGGTGGATCGTAAGTGAGCGGCGTTGCTGACATTGGTGAGTTGCCGTAGCATGAGGACTCAGTACCGTCCACTTAGAACGAATTGAATGAAGCAAGTGGAGGACGGCATCGTATAAAGCAGCGAATACTGAGCCAGACTATCTTTCAGGCCTCTGAGGAAGGCATTATTGCCGAAACGTCAGGCTGAATAAATAATACTTATAACAAACCTGTGTGGCAAAATATCACAGAAGATAGCCTGAAAACTTTTACACTAGGCTAATTAGAGTTGCTGATTCTGACTGTAAAGTTCCCAACTTATTATGATGCTTCATTGAAGAGTTATGCCAGGTGAGAGGTAGCGGCCTTTTTTTCAATGTTCCTAAAAAGTGCGATTACACCGTTTAGAAAGCTTCGTAATCTTGTGAATAGTTGAGTATTGAACTCAGCGTCTATAAAAACCCTATTACACAAGTTTTCACAATTTTTTGAAAAATTTTGAAACGGCAGCTTTTTCCACATTGACACCATATGTTTCAAGTTTCTACCGTAATCCTACAGTAATGAAGAGAGATGGGTGATTCGTTCTATAATGGAAATCTAAGTTGAAGCCAGCTCTACAAAACGGTACCTGAAGCAAGGCAAAAAACTTCTTGGGAAGAGAGATATTAACGATCAAACGTTCTAAACATTTTTTGGGACACCCTGTATATTTCGTCGACTCTGAAGCGAAATATGTCACCTATTTCAGGGGCCGTCGCATCTTTCTTATTTTCAGAAATCATGAGCGATATTGTATGAGCGTTGGAATCATAGTATGATCTCAGTTTTTGTATAATACTTAGCCTTTTATCCTTCGGAACATTTGTAACATGATAAGCATCTCGATATTTTCTTATACGTCCATCATTTTCAATGAAACCTGCAAAGCTACTTCACTACCTCTAAAGTAATCATTGCTCGCATCGTCGCCGTACTTCTTCACTAAAGCGCCATCACCGGCGTTTACTGAACATACAAACTGGCAGTGTTTGCGATGCTATGGAGTAGAGCATACCTTTATATGCCAACACCAGGTTTTTTCTAAGCCTGTCAAGGTAACCGAGAAATTCATGGATTGCTATTCTCGAAAAAATACGTTAGCGACTCGAATGTCGCGGTTGTCTATCCGGCAAGATACTGCGAAATGGCCTTCTTCCATCGCTTTTCGCGCTCGGCGCGTGCTTGGGTAACTCAGGCGGATTGAATCAGGCCTACTAATAATTACTAAGCGACTCTTCCGCTTTATGCGATGGATTGATTGAAATGGGTATACCAGAGAATCTTATTGCCAACTCTGAACCATTTCCATTTTGTCATCAACCATCAACCATTTTGTCCAATCCCGATCTCGAAACGCATGTTTTTAAACATTTGGGACTTGCACACTTCGTTCCTAATCCTCTTTGATATGCTCGTTGAGTTTGTGTTATACAATGACCTGCCTGCGATAACATGAACCTCGAATGGAAGCTTACCAAAACTTTTGGCACGCATGTATGTTGCAAGTAGAATATTTAGCATCGAACTACCTATGTTCATGAGACTTATGAAGCATCTAATAAGCAAATGGCTCTCAATCTGAAAATTGGATATTTGGCTGAAGTTAGTTTCTAGGATGCAGCAAACAATACCTTGCCAAACTAGCGCACTTGATTATCCATTTGGAAATGTTACATGCACATTGATGTGGAGGAACGAAGCAAACTCAAGAGATAATCAACAAATGAGATGGGACAACAATGCTTTGTCAAGGCCTTTTGGTGGAAATAAAATTGATCAGGTGAGTATGAGTTTTACTATGAGAACACTTTCAAAAATATTGTTTAGGTAGGAGACCTTATCCTCCTTGATGTCAACCTGGACCATACTGAACTTTATCGTCATAATGGTGTATTTGATGAGCTCTCAGCAATGTTTACGTTTCGGAGGGGTCACTACAAACTCCTTCTGCTATTCTTTCTTCCTTCTGCACTTTTCATGCTCATGAGGTTGGTGTTGACTGCTCTGCATTTTGGAATGAATGCAGCAGTTGTGAGCACTTTAAGCAAGCATTTTTGAGCTGGTTTTCCCTCATCCTTGGCCCAATGGCCATTACACGGTCCATTCTCATTGTTGGCTCACTTGTTTTGCTGCTCATCCACTACAGTACGAATATGGCAGGCTTACCGGAAACTACGGGTGTTACCTCAATAGGTAAGGAACGAGCTGGTACTTACCATATACGCTCATCTGATTAGCTCACTTTCATAGACGTCTGGAAAGTATTTTCTCTGCTATTTGTTATGTCAATACTAATGGAATTAGTCATCGTAACTTGCATGGCATCTATGGGAAGATCGAGGTGAGTCGAAGCGGTACACAGACTTTTGCCATAATTTTGTTACTTATCTCGGTGCTTGTTTTGCACGTTTTCTCATATGGGTAAAAAAATTTTCTATGTGTAAAGCTGAAAACTTTCGTGCAGTCTCTCTTCTAGTTCAATGAAAAAGCGTTTGAAGAGATTTTCACATTCCTAGTGTCAAGGACGAAAATTACAAAAAATACATGATTAATTGCCTTGACTGCCCAAAGTTTTTGATTTTTTATTTCGTAAAAGTGCCTTTTTGTCTGTGAAGTTGAGGACGGGACAATACAAGTAGATTCGAAACACATGAAGCAGGTGTCCAGCAAAATTAATATCTCCTCCATGACGAAGGCGGTCGCCCAAATAGGTTGACAGCATGCAAGGCTGACGCGCACGCGGCGCGCGGGCAATTGTCAACCACGGGTCGCGCGCGCGCTCGCGTGGATGACCGCTGACCGAGCGTGCGCGCGCCCTGTGGTTGACAACTGCCCGCGCGCCGCCGCCTTTCATGCTTTCAACCTATTTGGGCGACCGCCTTCGTCTTGGAGCAGATATTAGAGTTGTGGGATTTTGCTCGTGTAAAATTGACCCCCCCCCCCCTAAATGAGCAACTGTTCAAATTCTGAGTAACGTCTTCACGCCTGCAACAGAGAAATCGACTGGATCCTACCAGTATACTCACCCGCGGGTGGAGGACATAAGTCGCCGATAGGCTTCACCCAGGTTGACAGGTAGCATGAAGTAGTTGTGTAAAAGCACGCGGTCTGTTGCAGATGTCCGCGTGGGACCTCCCTTTCGGCGACCCAATGTCCTCTACCCTTCACCCGCGGCCGAGTTACCTATAGCTTTCCCCGCTCGGTAGCAGCTTGAAAGCCTTGGGTTGGTAGACTTTATGTCACCGGAAGGGACCCTTCCTGACCTGCCGTGCCATTTACCCGCGCGGGTGGTACCCTTTGGCCGCATATCGTTTTCTAGGGCACTCCCGACATTATCCTTGTCGGGATTCCGTGCATAAGGCCAATTCTTACTCGATCTCACACAAAAACAAAATCTCACAACCCCTAGATCGAACACCGCCTTTGGAAATTCATGGCACCTTATTTTATTTCAGGAAATTGACGAGGAATTAATCCAGATATAGGGCATTCGAAAAATCGTGACGATGGCGCGACCGCGCGCAACACGCCCGCACTCCCAATTTTTGGATTCTGACTCTACTCAAATAGTTTTTTCTGTTTGCATATAATAGTACTCAGGCACTTGAAGTGGCTGAGCTTAGCGCTGAGGTGCTTCCTGTTTGTATAGGTATTTTACCCTTCTGTGTGCGGAAAGAACCGCAGTCATCCTGTCGTCACGATTCTGAAAATGAACCATATGTGTGGTAGTTCCATTAGAGACTGATATGTTTTTGGCGCTATTCCACTTAACGACTTACGAAGTCATCATGGATTTTACTGGAACTTGGTTCAGAAGAGTTGTTTGACAGCTGATCACAAATATCGTGTTGATGCTGCACCTCAGGTTACGGAAGGGGTGGGGATATAAATCTCATTGCTCGAAACTTTCATTAAGGAGGGGCGCGCAAGTTTGTTCAGCATGCTGATTACGATAATGATGTCTTTGTCAGGGCCCGGCATGCGTTAGTTTAAAGCATTTTTGGAAACGAAGTCCCCCACGACTTTGCGAAAAATAACGAGGTTTCTCTTGACGTAAAAATCAGCAAGGAAACCCTTGTTCAATGGAAATAGCAACAAAAAAAGCGGAAAAAGCGCATTTTGAGTTCTCTAATAAAACAAAAAAGCAGAGAAGAAAACATTTTGAATCGTTCAAATGCTCTGTCGTTGGGTATGATACCATTTTAGTGCTCACAATGTCGAAAACCTCCTGGGCCGACCAAACCTGTGGCCTCAACAATCCGGCGATGTATTTTTCGCCACATAGTTCAAAGGACACCGCATTTTATTGGAGCGCGATATCTATCAACACGTAGAATTACACTACTTTTGGCTCAAAAAAAAAAGAGGAGGGGCAAGAGTTTGACCCTCTCTCTTCACTATATGATAGATTTTTGACCGTTCTAATCGTCCAAATTGGAAAGATCCAAACCTTATGTGAACTCTCCGATATTTATCCGAACCAACCCAGTTGGTTTGGTGTTGGTCTAGAAATCAACAAATTCGGGAACAGATATTAGGACACATAAGTTTTTAGAACTTTTTACATAACATAGTTTGGAGTAATATTGTATACACATAGCCCAAATTCGGAGCCATGTGATTGTTTGTGCGCTGTAAACAAGCCATTTGTTTGTTTAAGTCTTGGTTTGAAATTCGCGCGCTTGCGAAAAAACACGTTCAACTCGTGAAACCTGACATGTTCGTCGTTTTCTAGCGCTTCTTCCTGGACCTTATGAAAACGATATCCCCGTTGTTTCTAACTTCAAAAACGAAGTCCACTTTTACCCCAAACCATCTGTGCCGGGCTCTGGTCCTTGTGCGCTGAAGCGTTTTTTGCGTGATTAAGGTTGGTGAATACTGAATACTCATATGTCCACAATTCCAAGTGAAGGTCCCTTTCAAACTCTACCGAAATCGTAATTATGATCAGCATACTGAGGAACCTTCGACGAAGTTTTGAGTAATTTTGGAACTTCGAACTATGTGCCATATACCCACCGCCATTTGAGTAAATGAGGCTACATGCCAGAATACGATATTCGTGATCAGCTTACCAAAGACCGCTCTGGGCAAATTTTCATAAGAACCGGGGTCCTGACTTTTCAAGCTCCGTTAGGGGATTTAGCATCTCAAACATATGTTTTCTTTGTACACTTGGATTCCTTTTTTTACTGGGTATGTACTGTAGTCGATTCATGGTCACCATGCAAACCTTTAACTGCTTCATCTCTTATGTACTATATATTATACCTGGATTCCTCTCCGAGCACATATCTTATGCAAAAATTCGAGCTTTACAGAAAGTGGACGTCGTGTTGCCGCAGCGGTAGAAGAAAGGGCAAATACGAACTCGAACCACTCTATGAGGAGCTGAATGACTTGAGAACTCGAAAAACAAGGCAGGTTGCTAAAGAATTGCTATGCCTGTGTCTGGTCAGCCTGAGGTTGAAGTATCTGGTTCTCTTAGTTTTAATAGCCGGTCTACAACAAGCAGCGTTAATGAGGTTCTAGTTGCTTATCTAGAAAGAAACGTGGAGCTATGGAAAGTGTTACCAGCTTTTTTCTGTCTTCATTGAGATAGAACGAATGTAACATTATGAACCCATATGAACTTGGGAAGATTGATGTCGAGTCGCGTATTTGACTTCAATAGGCAAATAAAGAGGTTTTCCCTAAAAAATAAAAGATGAAAGGTAAATGGCGAGTTAGATATTCGAGGCTCGTCAGACTACTACGATTAAATGTTCCTTGCAAATTCTGTTGTAGGACGACTATGTATTGCCACTCGTCTTTTCATTTCAGAAGAACATGCGGCTGTTGCCGGTACACAGCTCTAATACTAGACTGTGTGTCTCTATGGATAAGTGCAGCTGTCTTCGTTCTATTTATGTTCCTCTTCTTTACACGAGGACAGAAGATTGTCGAATGGCTCAATGAACTGAACCTGAAGAATTTGTCGCTGTAACGGTTTTGAAGCTTTTTTCATGCATCAAGTTGCTTATCGCTAGAGAACGAGTGTGAATACTTTATCATGTGTTAGTAGCGGAAATTGATAACGTCGTTTTTGTGAGAACAAGAGCGAAGTGTCAGTGGCTGCACAATAAATTTTATCAAGCTGTATCTGAGTTGATATTCATTGTTTGTGAAAAAACCACAGTAGTTGAATAGTGTCTTGTCGAATCTTTGACTTTTGACGGCTTTAGATCATTCCGTGTCACAGTAGATCGCATAGAGAAAGGAAAGCTTCTTGCGTTGGTGTTTTATGGTGGAAATTCGTGGCAACAGTTTGTTGCTTATGTTCAACATGTCCTTAAGAAGAAGTACACTTGAGGTCAATAATAAATTAAGAATGACGATTTCTATCGAATACAATTTACAGGCAGATTTTTATTATTACATTGAAAAGTCAATCAAAAACATTTTCCTTGCTCATACAATTCCTATCTGGACCCTCTCCATGTTTCTCAATAGTCAGCATTGTACTGCGGACCATAATTACTATTTTGACGATATTCCAAGCGTTCGAAAAACACTACATTTGCAGACAAAGTTAAGTGTTGCACTTCCAATTCACGTGCATCGGTGTGACACATAGTTCATTACGGTGCTTGACATTCTTCACATACCGTGGCCGGTAAAGCTTCCGAAGGATCTTGAAGCTAAGAAGGTAGATCAAAGAATATGAAAGACTAAAGTAGTAGCGTTGAGAGGTTCTGGTTGATATGCATTCGACTTTCTAAAGTGAATGACCGATCGTCATGGTTGGTGTATCACTGCAATCCTAGTTTTTTTTCTTGTTGAAAAAGTAAATGAAAGAAGAAAGTCGCTTGAAAATTCACAACCTCACAAATCGATTCAACGCAGTGCATTTTTTGATGGTCGTTTTTGTTCCTCGGGGCAACCTAGGCATCCAAGCCCTATTAACTTCTGCCTGCCTGTAATCTTGTTCGAATTAGGAAAAATATCTAGGCAGAGTTGCGTTCACTGCTTTCAGACGGAGAACGACCTGATCAATCCAACAAGGAACACCGTGTGATTTAACTAGTCCTTTTGCCTTTTTTAGTGCACTTTTAGTATATAACTCAAACAAAAAATAAATTCGAAATGTTTTCCTTGAAAACTTCTGAGTGCTCAGTCTCCTAAACTGTGTGCACGTAATTGTACCAGCAGTAAGCAATCACTTTGGTGAGTTTTGTGAGCCGAATGGTTTCCCGTTCTTGAATAATTGTTGGGTATGAGGAACACGGGAGGGGGGTTAGGTCAGAAGTGCGCGATACACATCTTTCTTCCCGGGCCGCGACGACCATTTCATGGTCAAGTCCGCGGCATAGAGAGCCGCCCACACCGAAGAAGACCTATTGCGGCCGTCTCAGCTAAAGGAACTCACTATCGTAAAGCGGTTGGGCTTTCGAGGTTCTCTTGCTGGCGGCCAGCCCACTGTTTCCTTTCGTGTCATAAACTTCATTTCTTAGACTCTTGAATTGGAGCTGCATAGCTACAGAGTTTATTTCTTCTCTTAGAATTTGATGTTCTTACTCGGTCCCTCCTGCATAGCTAGATATCTTCAAAATCTCAAGCACTCACACGCTTGCTTATTCACCTCAACCTTTAGAATGCGGCCGTTCCTCATTCTTGGCCTTGGAGTCCTGGCGTATGTGACAGCGGTTGATCGGCTGAAGTTCAAAACCTGCAGCCAGTCAGCATTCTGCAAGTATGGCAGTTTCCTTTGATCTACGAACTCTTTCATTACTTTAATTTGGTCTCTGTGATTCGCTGTGCAAGACAATATGGAGAATTATAGTGTGAATATCATCTCTCCAAAAGCGGATGCTCGCTTTTTGCGCATCCATTATCGATAGTCAAGAAACTAGGATAATTTACGCCGTTTCAAGTCTTTTGCATGATTTGTACACGTGGCGATTTCCACGAACTGGTTCTTCGATTTAACATTGCATCACGCCACTAAACACTACCTCTCGGAGGAGAGGGGGGGGGGGGGGGCACTGATGAACGCGTCCATTCTTAGGATGACCAAACATGTCTAGTTCCTCGTTCTATTTTGCTTAGCAAACTTGGTGCGGTGTGTTACTGCAGTACCATGAAATCTGAACTTCGCTCACGTTGTGGTAAATGCGACTTCATAGATTATTTGTGGTAGTTGTGGAGATGATGGCCTAAGCGGTAATTGAAAAGCTATCAAGTCATTGCTCAGATATGACCAGCTGGGTGTGGTCATGGAAAAATATTCGTCAGAGTCCCTCCGCCCATCTTACAAATTTCTCCCAAGAAAATAGCGTGAAATTACTTTTCTTTTTAATGTTTATATTGTTTAGGCGGCAACGAGAAGTGACTTCGCCAACCGGGTATGAGGTCGTTGATGGTTCAGCAAACTTTAATGATACCGCATTTTCTGCGCAAATCAAAAATAAAGTGATTTGAATTTTTCAGTTTATCTCCATTATGCTGCCGTTTTCATACATCAAACATACATTTTCAGGACCTAACGCTCGATCTGCACATAATCTCTCTGCACGATTCCACATTTCGGTAAGTTTCCAGTTCTTGCGATGCGGTTTCTTGAAATCTATGCGATTCCGAGTGAACGCGAACACTATTGATTTATCGTGGCGATTTGACACAAGTTCTTGAGTTCTCTCTCGTTCGCTGCTATTTCGACACGAAAATTCTGACCAGTTTTAATTGGAGCCTTTGCATATATTTCGTGAAGAAGTCACGTCAGCTTGGTTTTATTTATCTAACCCAGATTTTTTCTTATAAAACGCGTAAATGATTCCACTGAGTTGCAATGCATTGGGCTACCTTGAGATCGGCAGAGAACAGTTCCGCTTCGCAGTTTTACACCGCTTTCTCAGTGTTGCTACTTACAGACTGGTCATCGATGAACCTAAAGGAGCCAGACGAAAACGGTTTCGACCGCTTGACGCCCTCGCAGAGCGAGATCCCAAGCAACAAAAGTACGATAAGTTCCTCGGTCTTCGAGCAGAGCGGTTAAGCTATAAGTGCCTTTACAGAATCAAAAAATCAAAAAGTGATGGAAAAGTGTCAAAGATGATTACTGATGATGGCCACCGAGTTGTAATTACCCATAGTCCTTTGCGAATCGACTTTTACTCAAAAGATGTCTTGGTAGGAAGCTTTCTATTAAAACAATGTTGCATCTTAGCGAGATTTCCTTCTTAGGTTACTTCCATTAACTCGGCTGGTCTGCTCATGGTAGAACCGTTCAAGAAGAAGGTGCTGTTGACAGATCGCGAGAAAGGCTATTGGGAAGAGACCTTCGGAGATCATAAAGATACAAAACCCTATGGTAAAGCGCTGAGTGGAATCAAACTGATGATAACATCAGTTGTGTTCAGGCTCGTCGTCAATCGCTGTGGATATAGCTCTAGTTGGGATGCGTTTCGCCTTTGGTCTTCCAGAGCATGCAGAATCGTATGCCCTTAGGGATACTAAGTGAGCTATAGATGTATCAAACTAAGAAGTGTTTGGAGAACATCGTATATCCATTCAGCACAAAAACCTTCGCTTTATTCCCCATTCTATCAGAAATTAATTTATGAGTTATGGGGTATTTATTTTGCTAGGAACCGGTATATGTTGCGTCGATTCACGGCTTATTGTCTTTACGAGTTGAGAATCAGAAAATTGAGAGGTACTCGAGAATGTCACATTTCTTAAGTTAGTGGTTCATGCGTAAAGAGAAGTTTTGAAATCATGATTGAATCATTAGAAGAGTTCCACGCAACAAAAATGATGTTGCATTAACCATTTCTTATAGTTCCTTCACACAATTTATAAAACAAACTTGGCAGATTTGACCATCTAATTAGGCTGTAAGCAAAGTCAGAATTAATTTTCTCCGATGAAGGTCTACCATACCAAATTATTTTTCCAGAAACTACGAGCCTTATCGTCTCTATAATCTTGACGTATTCGAATACGATCTTTACGGTCCTATGGCCCTGTATGGATCAATTCCGTATATGGTCAGCATTTTTGATTCAAATGATCTAGTCGTTCAACGCTAGTCAGTATTGATTTCAGGTCGGTGCAAACTCTAAAAGAACTGTTGGACTCTTATGGTTGAATTCCGCAGAAACATGGGTCGACATCGAGCACACTACAGCTGATAAGGTGGGTGAAGCAATGTTTAAATGCTTCAAATCTTTCTGCTAATCAGGGTGACACCCTAATTTGTACTTTTCTAACGCTGAAGCAATCATCTGCAAATTACAAACTTCCTTCTCTAAGCAGCGTGATCTGACGATTCCTAGCTCACAAACATTTTCAACTGTTCAATAAAAAGTTCTTGCAGGGAGCTCTAGCAAAGGTTGTTGCTGATCCCGACACTCAGGCCAAGGACGTACGCCTGATCAACACTCGCTTTATGTCCGAAACTGGTGCTATTGACCTATTCATAACACTTGGTCCACAACCCAAAGACTCCATCCGTCAGCTGGCTGCCCTCACAGGGACATACCCACTGCCTCCAGTGAGAATTTCATGATTCACAAGCTACATAGAAATCTCTATTGTAGGACTTCTCCCTTGGTTATCATCAATCTCGATGGAACTATGATAATCAGACGGATGTGAAGGAGGTAATCTCAAAACAAGTTCAACTAGTGCACATCTTAGCGGTAGTGGGTTCAGGTCAATGCAGGCTTTGACGAGCATGACATACCTATGGATGTCTTGTGGTTGGATATTGAACATACCGATGGCAAGCGTTATTTCACATGGGATAAGGAGAAGTTCCCTAATCCTGAGGAGATGATCGAAGATTTGACCTCAAAGGTGTGCAGTTGAAAACAAAGATCTTGGGAAAGACTGTAGTTTCAGGGGCGCAAGCTTGTCACAATTGCTGATCCACATATTCGGAAGGATCCGGACTACTCTATCTATGCTAAAGCCAAGGAAGAGGTGGAATTAACATTTCTATCACTCACAAACTTTACTTATTGAAATTGTTAAGGGTTTACTGGTGAAAAAGAAAGACGGAACAGTGTATGAAGGAAATTGCTGGCCTGGTGATTCGGTTTACATCGACTTCGTTAATCCTAAAGCTAGAAAGTTCTGGGCTGACCAGTTTGCGCTGGATAAGGTAATTTATCTCACATTTCCCTTACCAAGGAGCGCTTGTCTGGATTTGTGTGTCGAACTGTGGAGACTACAGCTTGTAAATCATGCAACTTAAATATTTTTAGACAAGACGAGATATGTCCAAATACTTTTTATCTGATAGAAATGAAACAAACTTTTTGCACACAAAATACTAACTATAAGTTCGCAAACTCACACGCTCACGTACTCACTACTCCTCAATTGTAGTATGTCGGTTCTACCAAGGATGTGTACACATGGAATGACATGAATGAGCCATCAGTCTTTTCCGGTCCAGAGGTAACTTAACTGCAACGTGACATATTTGCACATATTTGTTAGCTGTATGCTTACAGGTTACAATGCAAAAGGACCTGGTTCATCATGGAGGCCTCGAACATCGAGAAGTGCACAATCTGTACGGTTTCTACCAGGTAACTGATTGCATTAAATAAATATATTTGCACCTGCTTCGCAATACAGAATGTTGGGCTTAATTGTTACTATTTGATTATTCTTTATTGAGCACGAAGCCACGTACGCGGGTCAGTTGGCTAGAGGGAATAATGAGCTCAGGCCTTTCGTCCTTAGCAGGGCTTTCTTTGTTGGATCTCAGCGAACTGCCGCTGTATGGACTGGAGATAACAAGGCCGATTGGAGCCATCTAAAGGTGATTCCCGCCTTACGATTTGTTAGCATCGCCAGCTTTTTCAGCGCTGCATGGTAAGCAAAATTGTATCTCACCACCGAAAACAAACTGATTTCGAAAGCTAATGCGGCAGCCATATACGCTAGGAAAATCTAAAAAAAATTTTCCATGGGTGCTTAATGTTATCTTTCAAATCTTACCTATAAACCCTCATTTTTCATACAATAAGTTATTGATTTATTTGTTTTATTATTATTACTGTAAGTTTTTCACTTCCCTAATTCACTTAACATGGCAACAAAATACTGATTAAGGCCTCCATACCTATGCTTCTCTCGCTCTCCACTGCTGGAATTCCGCACGTAGGGGCAGACGTCGGTGGATTTTTCGGAAATCCCGATGAAGAGCTCCTTGTGCGATGGTAAGTAAGATGAGCATGAATGAAAATGTAATCAAATAATGTATCTCCAGGTATCAAGCAGGAGCCTTCCAACCCTTCTTCAGAGCTCATGCCCATCTTGATTCTCCACGAAGGGAGCCTTGGCTTTTCAATGAGACCACAACCGATGCCATTCGAGAAGCTATCAAGATGAGATACCAATTCTTACCATATTGGTGAACGAAAAATGAGAATCACTTTGGTAGGGAAATCTATGCGCTGTTTTCAGGTATACACTCTTCTATGAGCACACCTTGACTGGGAAGACGCCGATGCGCTCATTCTGGATGGAGTTTTCAGAGGATGAGGTAAGATATATTATATTTTTTAGGTCTACAACCATAAATGGCCTATTCATTCGTATTTGTTCCGATGCACCGCATTTGCTGCTGAACCAGGGCTTGAAAGAGCACGTCTGGAGTAGGTCGTATACAGATGAGTAGGCCCTAAGATAGAGATCACATCTGCAAGAAATGCATGGTATCCGAAGGAAGAAAAATTGAGTTTTCTCCTTTTTCAAATCCGTCTCACTTGAATCTAGATGTTTCCGTTAGGTGAAGCAGAAAGAAATTCATGACTCTTCACCCATACACGTTTGAAAAAAACTCGCTCCCTGATTCAGTGTCCCTCATGCGCATATACACACTGTTTTGGTGTCATAACGTTAGCTGATCGTTGTAAACAATACATTTGTTTACCTGGGAATGAGCCCGTACTATACTCTTTACCTTCTCCACGCTATATTCAGCTGGCTTGGGAGCCAGTCGTGCGGAGCTATACTGACCGTCTGCGGTCAGAATCTGTCATGACCGTATAGTGATGTTTCCTTAGCATTTAAGAACAATGTTGAATAATTTCCATGCTCAAAGATTTGGCATTTGTTGCTTTTCGAACCATTGTGACGTTTTTGTATTCTTTGCTATGGAAATTTTACTCTGCCTAGCTCTGCATAATCAAATCTACTAGAGAGGCATAACTCTTACATTTGGCTCCATGGTTATATTGATATCGCATGAACAAACGATGTAATGATTGGGAAAATTTGGTGCCGTAGGAATAAGTTCCCTCGCGTTATCAAACAAAGTTCTCGTGCAAGTGGTTCATACAAAAATCAAAGGCTACTACGATTATCCAAGATATGTACCACTTTTCAAAAACATTGAAAGCATTTTTTTTCCGAGCAGTTGGTAAATGAACTACTCGCCCAGCTTTACTACCCATTGCTCCAATACTTCGAAAATCACCAAGGTTACATTTCTACGCTTTCTTTCGATTCTTGTACTTATCAGACCATGCGATTCTGGAATGCAAGCAGCGCATGATTGTGCCCAAAAATTTTCGGTGGAATCTTAATTGTCCATAATTTGTGTCGAAACGAACAAAAATCTAAAAAATGACTCAAACAGCCCAATATAACAGTAGCTGAAATAGCCACTAGGGAGTGGAAGAAAAGTTATTTGGCGACCTATAACGCACTGTGTTATCTTCAATCCTTTTGGCACAATCTGACACCCATGTGTTGCCGCTCCCTTGCTAAAAAGATGATTCACTTCGCATCGCTGAACTGATACAGAGCGGATATGTATCCAGAATATTAGGTTGAAGTCTTGCATTAAACATTATGCAAAACTCGTTGTAGAGTGTTTAGAAAAACTGTCTAATTCAGACTACTTTTTATTATACATGGTAAATGTAGTGTATTATGGTAGAAATTCGTAAATTATCATACATATTAGAGATTTCACTTGTAAAAATCAAGATGATTAAAGAACATTTTGCAAATTACTACTGCAAGACATCTGACCGTAGGAATTTTTCTTGAGTTAACAAGCAGGTCAAAAAACCAATATTAAAACTAAACTTAGTTGATTTTCAGTAAAAGGTTCAGCAATTCTAGCGAGTGAAATTCAAGAAACTGTCCTTTTGGTATTTCCTAAAGAAGCAAATAAACAATGCGACGAAAATTTCTTCAAATAAAGGTGCGTGGCGTCAGCCACGCAATCCGAAAACGTTTTTGGATTGTTTCCCAATTCTGCGGGCCCATAACCTCAAGTAGAAGAACGGGGCATAGCTGCCGCCACACACGAAAATATTTTTTTACAAGGCCTACTTGATTTTCGAAATAGGTTACATATTTTGATTGCTTACAATTATAAACAATTCACTTGCACATTTTTATAGTCCACTTCAGTAACTTTTGAAAATTTCGCTACCCATTCTCTCTCCCTCCCCTCCGGTATGCCACTGGTATCTTGTTATATTGCATAATTGTATCCTGTCAAAAAACGGTGGGTATACGGTGGGAGATCGTTAGCAGAGCAACGAATTATGGAACTGTCTCTGGAATTCCTTTATATAAAGAATACTTGACGAAGCGTGAATTTTCTTTGCGAACAATTTTCGCGAAAACTTGACGTCCAACCAGTACACTTTCCGCCATAATTTCCCGCTAATCCCCGTCTCTCCCTCCCTCCTCACCTCACCATCTAACCTGTTTAAAGCTCTGATGATTTGATATCGAGAATCCAATACCTGTCGAATGTGTAGCGTTACGGCCGCAAAACCGGAAGTTTCTCCATAGCTCAACATAACTGTAGATGCTAAACGGTGCTAAACGTACTGAGTGAGGCATCTTGCACAAAGCCAGATGTTTTCAGAATTCAATTTGTTTGGTAGTTTTCTGATGAAGTTATATAGCTTTGCGAATTGTTCTTGATACTCCAAAATTAGGCTGCGAAGGCTTTGTAGAAAAAATTGAAGAGTATCCTTCTCGTGCACATGAGCACAGCTCCGTGGCTCAGTCGAAGTTTTTCGACTACTGAGTACGGACGAAATCACTCAAGTATTTCTGCGCAAACTATACTTTTAGAACAGCTATGACGAAGATCGGCAGTGGATGGTTGGAAACGCTTTGCTAGTAAAGCCTATCGTTGACCCTGGAGCCACTCAAGTTTCTATGTACTTGGCGGGAAGGGGAGAAGTAAGCTTTTCGATATATTCATTAGGGTAAATATCGATAGCCGAAATTTTTCCAGGTTTGGTACGACTGGGAAACTTCAAAGCCAAGACCATCTCCTGGAGCTGTGCAAAATCCAGCAACCCTGAAGACCATCGGAATGTACCAAAGAGGAGGTATTCTACGTACATGACATAATAACATGATCCAAACACTGTTGATGATTTCTGTATCATCAACCATTGATGAACTCTATATTCTAGATAGCCTACGGAATACCCGTAGGCTAAATTGTGAGCTACTCACTCTTGAGTACCTAATCACTCAAGAGTGAGTGGTACCCGTGCGCCAGGAGTGTAGCCAATCGGCGGCACCTCCTTTCAAGCACCAACTCGTGTACATTGTACCTTTTACTCGGTTCAGCTCCGCCTTCCTTCCTATATAAGGAGCCTCCGAATGTATTAGAGGTTGCTCTCCGGTCTACACCGGGACACCTCGGACGCTTCTTCTCGAATAATCTACGCCCGTGCGAATAAACCTTATTCCACAACTCGTCTACCCCCTAATCACTTGGTACCCACCAAATTGGTGCATCGGCCAGTGATTTTCCTTGCATTTCTCGGCGAATCCTCCTAAGGACACGAGAAATCAAGGCCTAAGACCCGCGTGGCAGGCTCTACTATAGCCAATATTCGACTCTCGTGATTGCTGGTCCACCACTCTCACGATCAAGAGTCTTACTAAGTTGTCAGGTCCTATCCACAACTTAGTAGAGGTTTCTAGCTAACTGACTGGTTCACCACAGTTAGCGACAGACTCCTCGCACTCTCGGCTACTAATTAGCCAATATTCGACTCTAGTGATTGTTGGTCCACCACTTTCACTAATACGAGTCTTGCTAAGCTATCAGGTCATATCCATAGCTTAGCAGAGGTTTTCTAACTAACTGACTGGTTCACCACAGTTAGTACAAGAACTCCTCGAAACTTTTGGCTTTCCTAAAGTCAAAAAAGGACTCTGTGATTGCTGGTTCACCACTTTCACAAAGAGTCATCTTGCGAAGCTATCAGGTCATATCCATAGCCTAGCAAAGAGGTTTTTCTAGCTAACTGACTGGTCCACCACAGTTAGCAACAGAAATCCTCGAACTTTTTTGGCTTCCATCAGCCAAAACACTCTGTGATTGTTGGTTCATCCACTTTCACAACGAGTTTCATCTTGCGAAGCTATCAGGTCATATCCATAGCTTAGCAAGGAGATTTTCTAGCTGACTGACTGGTCCATCCACAGTTAGCAAAGAAATCTCAACTTTCCAAGCTCATTCACGATTGGTTCACCGATCTTGAGCTTTGGATCGTTACATTTACGGGACAGGTTCCAACACCTTACCGTCCAGTACAGCGTACAAGCCAACCAGGCGCGCTTGCTGACAGCTAGTAGACGCTCGGCACCCACTTGCCAGCTCACTAGAAAGCTTCCTTGCAACCAGTAAGGACAGCTATCGTATCGAGGCCAGCCCTGCTGTCGCCCTCAAGCCAAAGCGATCAACACAAGGAGGATACACACTTCCAAATTGTAACGCTTGGAATTACCACACCAGCGCACGACTCTACCCAGTGCAGCAGAAAAGAAAATGGCATCGCTCCAGCTTTTCAAGATCAGGATTAACAACGCCTGCAAACTCGTGAAATCCCACGAGTCACAAATCGAAAATATTGATGTCCCCTTCACATTCCCCACACTGAAAGAAGAATGTGAACAGTACATAAAAGAGAAAACGGGACTGATAACCAATCTTCTCAACTCTCTACACAACGCAGTGAAGCTTCAAGAGACGCAAATCAACTCCGCGATTGAGTACATTAGCGCACGGAATGAGGAAAAAGAAAGAGACAAACTGATGATGGAGCTCAGTAAGCACCTAGAGATGGAGTCACTTGAACTGGAAGTGATTGTAGTGCAGTGGCGGACAAGGATAGAGTTCAGGCAGCATGAACTGAAAGAACAAGACGCACTACTGCACTGCGATGCTCCGAGCATACCGAGTCAACCAAGTAGTGATAATGGACAAGCTTGGATTCCAGAACGTAATGAAAGGCAGATCAAAATTCGGAAACCTCTGCTGGAAATTCCTACGTTCTCAGGCAATTTCCGAGAATTTAATAGCTTCTGGACCGTCTTCGAATCTCTCATCCACACTGACGAGGAACTATCGGATACAGACAAATTCCTGTTTCTAAAACAAGCGTTAAAGGGAAAAGCAGCAACCACTCTCAGCTGCATTCCCGTCATTGGAGAAAAGTATGAAACAGCGATAGATATCCTGAAAAAACATTTTGATCGCTCTGCCAACATGGCAGACATACTCATAAACGAGATCGAAGAACTTCCGAGGGCGTCAGACAACCCGAAAAGTTGCCGAGAAACCTTTGAAGCAATCAGTTCGAGAATCATTCATCTTGAACAAACGGGAGCAAAGATGAATGCAGACAGACTTTGGCGTCGAGTGATCTTCTCCAAATTTCCCGAATCCATCTGTACAACCGCCATCCAAAAAGAAGCGATACAAGATGATTCCTTCGATGTTAGTGAAATCCTGGAAGCTATCGACAGCATAATTTCACTACGTGAAACGACTTCGCTCACAACTGAGACCCTTTTCCCAACCAGCCATCGCCAGGACACTCATCAAAATGGAAGGAACAACAGAGCAAGATGGGAAGAGGAAAGACAGTTCTCGAAACCAAGACGCTTGTGTTTATGTGGACAACCACATTCTCCTCACGCCTGTCAAAGGTACACCACACCAGAAGCCCGACGACTTGAAGCAACAAATCAAGGAGTGTGCTGGAGATGTTTTGCAAGCGATCACAACTCAAACGCTTGCACGAATTTCGGTACGTGCCCCAAGTGCAAAGGATCACACCATGGATCTCTTTGCTTGTCAGAAGCAGGAAAACGCAGAGGATTCTCGACGCATTCCCGACCTGCACTTGATCAACATCCAACTGCTCCTTGGTCATCCCGTGACATCAGTCAGGATCGTCATGAGAAGAGTACTACGCACGTCGTACAAGGCTCACGACAAGAAGGCTACAATCCCGAAGTGCTTCCACTTGCACAGGATCAATGCATTCTTCAAATTGTTTCAGCAACTATATTCAACGAGGCAGAGTGGGATTACCAGCCAGTAACGATACTACTTGACTCCGGTGCACAACGAAGTTTCATCAAATCAGGACTTTGTGAAGAACTCAAACTTCCAGTCCTTCGTACTACTTCGTTTACTACATCTGGGATGGGCGAGCAACAAGAGCAATTCAACTCATCTGAAGTACAAATCACCTTGAAAAGTCTTCACAGCTCCGAAAAGCTCAAGAACTTGTCAGTACACACTAAGCAGAAGCTGACTACCGACATGCAGACAGCAAGTCTCACGGAAGCAGACTTGCGTTTTATCTCTGATGAAAAGCTGATAATCGCTCAAGATACGCTCTCCTGCAAAAGCGTTTCGCCCGACATGATCATAGGACAAGATCTCCTAAACCTCGTCACTATCCACAACGACAGAGTGCGCAAGCTTCCTTCAGGGCTCATTCTGACCCCAACCATCTTCGGATTCGTTATATCAGGGACGAGCGGCACTACCACCACATCAAGATTAATCGGCACATTCGGCTGCATATCAGCGCTAAAGAAAACACTGAGGAACAACCGCCCAACTCCACAACACAACGAGAGATTGAAGAAACCCAAAGCGTACTCTCATTTCAACAGTGCGAACAGTCGAACATGCAACAAGCCATTATTGCCAAAGCAAAATGAAGGAACAATCCAAAGGAGAACGATTCCGTTACGAGCGATGCTACAACCATGTTCTTCATCCAAAAGCCGACAATCCACCTTTACAAGGTCAACACTCAATGCTGCCATCCTCGCTGAAGCTCGAGCAGACAGACAACGTTGGTTGGCCACAATACGTTCCACGACGAACTCCAATGTCAGCCCCCGATATGGGATAGAATGGCTACCGCAGCGGTTCACAAACAATGAAGCCAAGATAAGGATGACGAACACACCAGAGAGAAGACATCATGAGTACATACATCGTGTAAGAACGCCGTCTATCAAGGATATGGTCGTAAACGAAGCAACTACCGATTCTAAGTGGAAGAGGAGGAAATGGCGAGGACGACAAGCAGCGCCAAACCGCCCACCAGCTCCAGCGATCACTTCAAATGCTTTTATAAATTTACGTTAATAATTGTACTCTTGTGTGCATGTTCAAGTTACTTGCAAATCCTCCTTCATAGCTCATTTTTCTGTATGCGTAGGTATTAACTTATTCGCTAGTCAACTTCACATGTATCTGCCACTCTAATTAGGATCTTACCAGATCTCACTTTCCTCTCGCTCGCCCGCAGTGTTGATGATTTCTGTATCATCAACCATTGATGAACTCTATATTCTAGATAGCCTACGGAATACCCGTAGGCTAAATTGTGAGCTACTCACTCTTGAGTACCTAATCACTCAAGAGTGAGTGGTACCCGTGCGCCAGGAGTGTAGCCAATCGGCGGCACCTCCTTTCAAGCACCAACTCGTGTACATTGTACCTTTTACTCGGTTCAGCTCCGCCTTCCTTCCTATATAAGGAGCCTCCGAATGTATTAGAGGTTGCTCTCCGGTCTACACCGGGACACCTCGGACGCTTCTTCTCGAATAATCTACGCCCGTGCGAATAAACCTTATTCCACAACTCGTCTACCCCCTAATCACTTGGTACCCACCAAAAACACTTTGCTTTTTCACTCCATACTTTCACATAATACGGATAAGCGAGAAAAATGGTTAGAGAAACAAGTACATTTGGACAATATTTTGGTGCTAGCTATAGGCCGAACCCCTCCTCAAACCAATTTCAGGTACTGTAATACCGGTGCGAGAAAATGTCCAGCAGTCCAGTCAACTTATGCGTTCGGAACCGATAACGCTGTACATCGCACTCAATTTCAAAGGTTAGCATCTCTTTACTTCATCTAAAAAATGCTTCGGGACAGGGTCAGAAACTAACAATAAGTACGTTAATCTAGCCAATCAAATGCAATCTCATGCGGGCCTAACAAACTTTATTTTGAATAACCCGTAGTGGCGTGCTGCATGACGATCTCAAAATAAAAGCATTCTTCTGTATGAAAGAGAGTACCGAATAAATTAAGAGGACAACACTTCCAAAATTATTCACAACTTCGGCTTAGATGTGTGTAGGAGTGGCTCGAATGATTTTAGATTGCTTTGTGTCAAATGTGAAAGTCTGGGGGATTTGCTCGAATACATTCTCAACCAAAAACAAAATTTGACACTCAGCTCATATTATGTAGAAGAAGATATGCAAGTTCATATTTGAGGAGACGCAGCGAACGGAACAATCTATTTGGATGATGGAGAATCCTACGCTTACAAACGAGGAGAATACGCCTATTGGGGCATCGTTTTCAAGAGGTTTGTAAGAAGACAGTGTTCACTGAACCTTACATCAGCTATTCAGGGAGCACGACTATCTCCATACGATAATAAATAAGAGGCTGGATAAGAAGGGAACCTTAGAAAGCGATGTTATGATAGAAAGAATTGTAGTTCGAGGCGTGAAGTTCTATCCCAGGACGGCTCATATATTTTTGGACGGTGAGTTAGAATTGCAAAATAACGGAGAATCCTCGGTAACTGCGGAAAATCGGTTTTTTGGCACAACTATGAGCAGTTTTTAGCAGAATCGCCTGCATATTTCTTGTACAGGGCCTGGCAAATATCAAGCTGAAAATCGTTTTAGGAACACCTTTGTATGCATATTGGGAACACCTTTGTATGCACTAGCTACCCCTCACAGGTTGCTACACGACTGACTTACAAAAATAAAAACTTGCTTGCACGTGTCCTGCAGAAATCCAAATTTTCCATCAAGTAATAATTGACTGCCTCAGCAGCGAACACAATATGACTCCGACTTTGGTGTATAAGCGGGCAAGAGCTAGAAGCATAACGCTATCGTGGAGAAATTATGTGACTGAAGGCTGTGGCTAGCTTTTTTCCTGGCAATTTTTCATTAGCGAAAGCGGAAAACGACTCGTTTGCAACGCATGGGTAGCGATTTGGCTCTAAGCCTGGCATGTATATGCACAATACAGAGTTAGAACAAAGTGTGAAGTTATATGAAAAACTTACGTGAATTAAAAGCGGGCTTAATTTTTTTTACAAATTAGGTGGGAATACGCCCACCTCAATGGCAAAGTCTCAATTTACATACGTTTTCCAAAATTTTACTCAAACCTGTTTTGAACCCTAAGTTTTTTATACGGTAACATTTTGGTCACAAAATTACTCCTTTTCTCTTTGCTGGACTCCATTGAAGCAACGAGGTTAACGTCCTCCAGGGGGAAAGCGCGCTTTATCTAAAGACTCACGCGGCTGGCGCAATCAAGTGGGAGGTCGTAAAATTCGAAAGCAGCAAAGGTGAATTGTTTCTTAGGGACCCGTCACACTTCGCCGAGAGAAGCCCATAAGCGCCGAAAAAAGCCCAAAAAAAGCCCAAAAGCGCCAGAAAGAGCTGGAACGTCCCCTTCCGCGCGCACGTTTTTGGCGCTAAGGCATGCGCGTTGATTTCGTGACCGAGTCTTTTTGGTTGAATTTCTGTCCTCTGCACATCAAAATATGTGGAATTCTACCAAAAGTTCGTTTCTGCGTTCTGGTTCTTTCTGGCGCTTTCGGGATTTTTCGGGCTTTTTGGGCTTTTTCGGGCTTCTTGAGCGCTTTTGGGCTTTTCTCGGCGAAATATGACGGGTCCTTTAGGTTCATTTGCCACCCTCATGGCGGGCCTTGTTCTAGAAAAATAAATGCAAACGACTGACAATGCTTCCCACTTTGTGACGTTCTCGTTCGATTTATTACATAAAATTTTTTGCAGATTTCACGCCCGATGACCTGGACTTCGACTATGATCGTGACACCCAGCTAATGGAGATCAGAAATCCAGGCGCATACATCACCAGAGATTTCCGGATCGACCTTCACACTTAGGAGAAAGAAAGATGAATCATCTTTTTTATCCATTTCCTAGTTACTCTTTGGTGATTCGCTAGTTGTGTTGATGATTGTGGTTTGATTATGGGTCCAGCTTTTCCTATGTGTCTTTTCCTCAAATTGATTGTTTGAGTAAATTGTTTTCCAGTAATTCTATAATTGCGTGTAGATGTGCAAGAGGTGGGAGGAACATAAATGACATCATAGTGACGCAGTTTCTGGGAATTCAATATCCACATTAAACCCCCACGGCGCAGAGAGTAGCTGAGTTTGACAACTAGGCGTGGATATTTCCGGCTCCAAGTGCACGTTCTCTGCTCAGCAGTTCGTCACCAACCTTCCGAACATTCGGAAAAACTGAAGATTAGAGGGAGGCATCGTACATGATGTGAGATCTGTAACCATTCTTGTACTGGAAAATGCCATATAAACATGATCTAATGCGATATTTGCATTTAATCCCGATTACTGCGGAGTCATATACCCTAGGAGAAACACACGTCTCAAGCAGACTGCGCTGACAAAAAATATTCCCGGGCATTTCTAAAGAGTGACACAAACATAAGCACAATATAATAGTCACACACATTCCAGAAATAGAAGTCTACCAAGGGAGTGGCAGAAGTTTGTCACTGAGATGGAAGAAATGGGATGAAAGTTGAAAGTATTGAAGGCATATAAAAGAGGTAATTCTAAGGTAAGCCGCCACTGTAAAATCGCGCGTCATCCACAAAATTAGTAACATGCATGAAAAACAAAAATCACTTACTGATAAAACACAAGGGTATATTCCATTTTGATGAACGCCTAAATTACGTTATCTTTGCTTTTATATAAGTACCTCAAATTTTGGGATATGACTGACTCCCACATTTTCACGAAAGCAAAGAAAGGAAAAGAATATCGAAATATGAAAATTGAACTCAACCTCCTTCTAGGCATCCAAACAAGAAAAACACATGGCATTTATAAAGCGCTTCTAATCATTAATTTGTAATTTTGTAATTTTATAATTGTAACTTGCGGCAACTAGCTATGACATAATGGTAAACCGGAACTAACCCAAAGTCACTCTAATTTCAGGGCATAGCCTGTGTTTCAAAAATCTGAACGTTTCATTTGGGAGTATGAGCTGGACAAAGGAATGTGCTGGTACTTCGTAACTATACAATTACTATACAAACGCTTATAAGGTGAGAGTGACATTGCAAGAAAGACAATCGAAGAACGCAGCAACAATTCTGCCTCGTAATTTTTGGCAAGCTTCACAAGGCGCAAAGGAGAAAGAAAAACCAGTGAAGAAAACAAGCACTTTTTGACAAAGAAAATCAGTATCTGAATCTTAAAGTATCGCGGAGTTCGGCGAAATTCGCTCAGATACTTCATATATCAGTTTTTGCCCCTGTTTTTCGTTGTACATTAGACCTGCATTCCAAACTGATGCAAATTTGAGTAGCAGAAACATCGGATCATTTGCTTGATCGCTGAAGACAGCCCTGTGTCTTTTGCGCTTGAAGTTCGCCAAACAGACTTTGACGAAATAGCATTCCTAGTCCTCAAGAAGAAACCAGGGTTGGACGCACAAAGAAGCGAGAGCCCTGCAATATTTCTGATTGTTCTTTTTATAGCTATTATTTGGACTTGTTTTAGGAGCAGCCATGGTTGCACCAAAGAGATGCAAGATATGTACACACACATGGATCTGTTGAGGAATAAGCTTGCAGAGATTTCCTGGGGAATTGGAGGGAGGAGAATTCGAACAAGGAGCAATGCCAATAACGACGAACACATTTCAGATGCTGCTTCAGTTTTTCAAAAGGTAAAACACACTTTTGTGACTTAAAGAGTATGGAGTCAGCTTTCAAACTAAATATTCTCCACATTTTGGATATGAAAAATTATTCTTAAGTACTAAAGAAAGGTTAATGCTTCCCTTTCTGATTAGTCGTCTAGACCACTCCTTCTCCTGAGTTTCGCAATTAAACAACACTTCCCAATAAAAAAGCGAAATTGTCTGGAGTTCTAGAGAATCATTTCGGCTCCTTTTCCATCCTTAATTTCATTGTACTATGGATGTATTACTTTACTTCTAAAGTGACTTCCAGGGAAACGGTAATGTAATAGAAGGCATTTTCGAATAGATAACAACATTCCCCTAAATATAGTTATGGCCGAATCTTGCTGGATTTATTCGCCTAAAAACACGTCTAAAGTTTCACCATTTCTTGTAATTCAGTAACGGATGATGTCATTGCTGCACCTGTGAACAATTACGTTTGTGTGTTTTCGAATGCTCGACATCTATAGTAAAAGTTCGCGCTAACTGACGAGTCTCTTATCAGTTTATTACGTTTCTGCACTCTATGAGGTGTTTTTCTCACTGAACTCAATGGTCCAAGAACTTCCACACAATAGGAGATAACTGGTAATCACAGTCATTTGAATCGCACCATATGCAAAGCAGAAAGCATTGCGAACATCGCTGAATGCAGACGCTAAGCTGAAGTCGAAATGTTTTCGTAAACAGGTGGTGTGCCCTATTTCAAAAGAAACGATTGGGCAACGGCTCATCAAACCCTTTCATTACTAGGTTTTTGCGCGGTGAGTAACCAAAGTGCGAACGAGCGAGCGCGACCGGGAGTAGTGGATTTCGCAACCTCCTTCGCGTCACCGGCGGCAGGCGGAGGGCGATGCGGCGCCCGCTCGCGGTGACCGCAAGTCCACCGGCGAGGATGCAGTGACGAGCGCGAGCGCGGCGCCGCAATCCAGCCGGCTATCAGCTGATTCTTGTCGCACGAGTGTAGCAGACGTTAGAAGCCCACCTCATGACGAAATCCCCTCTCTTTCTACGTTCTGACTCACCAAAACAAGAATTCCTCAAGGCATCCATGGCTGGAGTGACTCATACAGTCATGGTCTCGCCTCCCTCACTGACACACTATTTCGACACAGTCTATCAGTCAGGGGGCGTGGGGTGAGTCATTTCGTTCAGCACCGGAATATAAAAGGCGCCCGGCCTGAGTCAGATAGGTCGTCGTATTACCCCACATTTGACAGTGACATCGTCCTATGTAGTTTCGCATCCGTCTGGAACCAGAGTCACTGCATGGCAAAGGGAATTCGACCCGTTGCTTCCGCGAGTTTGCAGCAGTCCAATCCCGGCTAAGTTTTTCTTTTCGCCATCTGTTTACTGTTTACTCCCCATCACAGTGAGCGAGACTTGCGCTACAGTTAGTATGTTTCTTTTCATATACTTGGATGACGGACACGCTAGTTTACTCACTCGGCCGACGATGTTTCGAAATCATGCACCCGATGCGTTTCCGGGCAATGGGTAGACGAGGACACGTTTTTGCAAAAATGCAACATTCCTCGACCCTCAGAACATGCACTCCACATTCTGCCTATGTCATTCCCCAATTTTGTGCAGTGATCGCTTCTTCTACGTAATTTGTACTCAGCAAAGGTGCTGCATTTCGTATCGCAGAATCTTTGCTGGTGCAAGCTATGTGGCATGAAAGCAAAAATCATATCCTTCTAGTTTCTGATTCTTGGCATGTATCTTTTCGGTAAGTATCAGCCTTCTTTCCTATAAATTGCTTTTTTGTGTGAATTATTCAAATACCTTGGAACTTCCTTTTCTCATAAACAACTCGGATGTTTTCTCGAACATTCTCTTTTTTAGCTCTGTGCCTGAAAAAAGTGTAAAGTGCTATGATGGGACATTAACGTTGCAATGTTGCACTAAAATAATGATGTGTGTGTGTTAATCGGAAAGGCGCATGAGAGCGTCGTCCAGACACCAAGTAGTTTTATGAGCCTATATTTCAGGGACTTTGTCAAAGAAATCACACTGATTGGAAATTGAATGTTTGAACACTGTATTCTTTTTAGTTTGGTAAACATTACCGTGCTATTTTCAGCGTCTGTGGTGGGCGACTTTCTTGATGCGTCAGATCCAAGTGAGACCCATTATTAATGTTTATGATTATCGTGCTTGAAAAAGTTAGCAGAATACTTCCACATGCGGCTTTTTTAGCGTATGAGGATGTTTTATACTTATTTTATTCATTAAGGCCATGATGTCACCTCTTTTTTTCCGCCACTCGTTTTCTTACCTTTTTTGCTTGCAGACGTAAATCGAAACAAATGGATCTTTGATCCATTTATTTCAAATTTATATTATCGCTTTGCTTGGAATCACAGCACAATTTAGCATTTATCGTTTTTTGGTTCTGTTGCTCTAACGGATATCATAAACTAGTGCAGTTAAATAAAACAATAGTTTTCTGGTTTTGGGAGATATTTCAAATCCACAGTTAAGTTTTTAGTTCCTAAATGTGAAGGTATTTAGCTGATCTCCTTCCAGCCTCCAACTGTAGTTGTGTCTAACCTGTCTTATCGATATTCTTTTTCAGTTGTTTTTGTGCAGATGTAGTGCGAACGTGTTCATAAGATGCAATCTTTTCGTAATAACTTCCTTAACGAATTATGATGAGGAAGGAATAGTGCTCCGCTCGCACGGACAGCTGCCACGAACCACGCATCTGTGCATGTTGGCGTCTCTACTAGTTGTTCGCGCAGGCAGAGTTCATCGGTGACGCATAGCATGCAGCTAAAGGTGTTACGCAATAGTCTGAAGTGCTTGGAGGAGAGCATATCTGAGCATTTTTCCTATCACTGCTGGTTTCGCACTCAGAAATCATATTGTTCAAAATTTACACCGCTACGTATCAGTCATGCTTTTAGAATTTCTACGAATTGTGCTCGAATTATGAAAGTGCTCCACCTTTGATGTTTACACTTCAACGCTTTTATGTTGGTGCAACGTTGTTAGGTTTCATAGCAGATAACTTCGAGAAGCAGAGACAGCAAGAAGTTTCCAATTAGTGGGTGATTACACACCTTCCCATATTACTTCAGTATTACATCTCAGACATGTGTTATCTGAAAAACGCGTCATTTCGTAATTTTCGAAGGCACTCCGGACTTCGTAGTTTTGGAGCAGTGTCGCACTTTAGTGTTATCCACCCACGCTCGTCGTATGAGTCAGTCAAAGAAAAAAGCATTATTGATTTTCAGCAATACGTAACACTCTGCTGTTGTTTTCGACATGCTGGGTACTGCTAGGGACCCCAGCGAACATTGGAACTAATCATAGGGTGTGATTTTGTTATCCAATGTGTCT